GGACTTTGGCAGGACACCCTGAATTCTTATATTGAGCTTTTTCCAATCACAAAAATTCGTAGTTAGAGCTATTTTTCTGCTGGGTAATTGGCACTTAAATTACTTAACTGTTAACACTGGCTGAGATGTGTATGTCTCCTATCTCCACAAATAAAGATCTGGACAATCCCTTATGGTCTAATTTTTGTATTTTCAGTAGAGATGGGGTTTCACCATGTTGGTCAGGCTAGTCTCGAACATCTGACCTCGTGATCCAGCCGCCTCGGCCTCCCAAAGTGCTGGGATTACAGGTGTGAGCCGCCGCGCCGTTCCACCAAATATATTTTCATATGTCAGCAAAGAACTGGACATTTGCCATTTATTACTACAAGTATCATACATTATTAAGTACTTATGGCATCAAAAATAGGAAATTTTTAGATGCATCTGAGGAAAAGTGTGAAGGATCTGTACAGTCAAAATTACAAAACATTGCTGAGAGAAACTAATAAGTATCTAAATAAGTGGGGATATCTACTGTGTCCATGGGTCAAAAGACTATAGTTGTCGATGCTCCACAAATTAGTCTTTATCTTCATGCAAGCCCAATCAAACTCCCAGGAGGTTGCTGGGCACAGTGGCTCACAACCGTCATCCAGCACTTTGGGAGGCCAAGGTAGGCGGATTATGAGGTCAAGAGATTTGAGGCCATCCTGGCCAACATGGTGAAACCTCGTCTCTACTAAACATACAAAAATTAGCCGGGTGTGGTGGCATGTACCTGTAGTTCCAGCTACTTCAGAGGCTGAGGCAGGAAAATCGCTGGACCCAGGAGGCAGAGGTTGTACTGAGCTGAGATGGTGCCACTGCACTCCAACCTGGCGACAGAGTGAGACTCCAAAAAAAGAAAAAAAAAAAAAAAAAAATCTCCCGTGAGGTGTTTTGTAGAAATGGAAAAACTGATTCTAAAGTTCATATGGAAATGCAAAAGATCTCTAATGGCCAAAACACTTTGACAAAGAACAAAGTTGGAGAGCAAACACTATATGACTTCAACCCTTATTAGATAACTACGGTAATTAAGGCAGTGCCTTAATGGCATCAAGACAGACATACAGATCAATGGAACAGAGGAGAATCTAGAAATAGACCCATACATATATGGACATCTGAGTCACAACAATGGTACAAAGGCAATTTGGTGGAATAGCTTTTTCAAAAAATGGCGTTACGGGCCAGGCATCAGTGGCACAGACTTGTAGTCCCAGCTACTCTGGAGGCTAAGGCAGGAGGATCATTTGAGACCAGGAATTCAAGGGTACAGTACACTGTAATCATGCCTGTGAATAGCACTGCACTTCAGAAACATAGTGAGCCCCATCTCTTAAAAAAGAAAAAATGGTGCTACAATAGGACACTTATATGAAGAAAAAAAATTTAGATCCATGTCTCAGACAAAGATTAACTCAACAGATGACAGAATTAAATGTAAAACCTAAAACTAAAACTTCCGGCCAGATGCGGGGGCTCACGCCTGTAATCCCAGCACTTTGGGAGGCAAGGCAGGCGGATCACTTGAGGTCAGGAATTCGAGACCAGCCTGGCCAACATGGCGAAACCCCAACTCTACTAAAAATACAAAAATTAGCCAGGTGTGGTGAAATGCGCCTG